ACTGTAGTGGATCCTGCTCTGAACAGGAGGTTGGATTAGATGCTCTTTATCCTCTCTTCTGAGTGTTTGTCTCCATATTTTACCAAATCCTTTTGCTCTGATAATAAGTTGTTTATTTCTAGCTATTGACCTAGTTAATATTTATTTTAGGAGAATTTTTTTTAGTATGCAGGATATCACTGTATTTATATGAATATAACCTAGTTGAAACAGGTTCATGAAAGGCTAAATGTATATTAGTGGATGAAATTTATTACATTGGACAGAGGCTGAAAATTAACATATATTCTAAACATATTTGGAACAACAAAGTGCTACTTTGTTCAGGGAGTTCACTTTAAATTTCAAGGACTTCAGGTGATGTCAAACTATGCTGTATTTTTAAGGTGTTTATAGTAATACTCTGCTATTTCAGGTTGCATTTGCTTATCCCCAGAGAGACTGTCCGTTCCTTTGAGTAGGTCTAGTTTGACCAACAGAACATGTCTATATGTGTACTTGGATACTAAAAACAACTCTGTGGGCAGAAGTCTTAGAATTCCTAATTTGCACAGGACTCATATGACTCAGAGGACCCAGCTCTTTTTGCAAACATAAATATTTGTTCAGGTTCAAGGAGGCTGAGGGTATAGGCCAAGGGGAAGGATTTTAGCGCTGTACTACTTCTTAAACACAATCTGAAATATTGACCCAGGAGAGTTTATACTGATACATACAAATCTTTTAAATAAATAAAACCCCATGGTATGGGGAAAAAATGCTGCAAAGTTTTTAGTTCACCCCCACTCCGCTGCAGCATAAGCAAAACAAAAACATGGAATATTGAGGTATGTGTTCTGGAGACAGCCAGCATCTGTTTTCATCAAATCTCAGCACAGCCGTGAGTGTCTCTGGCAGCTCTGTGCAGTGTGTTAATGTAATATAAATCAGTTTATAGAAATTAGCCCCTTCCATTGGCACCACTAATACATATAAAGAGCTATAATTAAATGCATCTTGTTTGGAGCAAGCTTAAATGTAAGAGAGCAAATACTTTAATCTGGTATTATATTATATTTCCAAAGACCATGGAGTCTTTTTTTTGTACTTACAGAGATGTTGTGCTTGCTTGGAGATAGATACATTTTCAAAACATGGGAAAAAGAATGAAGACATAGGATTTATCACACAGAAGTATCAGAATTGGGGGGGGAGGCTAAAGATTATTACCTAAACTACCATCATATATTATATAATGTGGAAAATGGCTTGGTATTACCATTGCCGTTATTTAATGTGGTGCAAGGCTAATATAAACAGTAAAAAACTGGATAGCTTTTTGTGATCTCTAGTGTTTTCACTTTGAAATGTTCTGATTGAGATTTGAAAACTTGCTGTTGGAAGACTTTCTTTGCTGCTACTCATCTGTAGCACAGAACTGGATTTTTTAATTTAAAAATCTGATATCACTATGCAATATTCATATTGACAGTTTTCCTGCAGCATTTGCACTTTTGAAAAAAGTTACTATTTCAGCATAATACCTCACTCTTTTTCTTCAGGTATTGATTACAAGACAACAACAATACTTCTCGATGGTCGCCGAATAAAGCTGCAGCTTTGGTAACTATGCTTTCTTTGGATTACATTCTGTATTTTGAAAGTAGTTCATACAGGAAGCAATTGTGCTTGGGGTATAAGATCACATTAGTTAAGTAAAAACTCACTAGGTAGCTTTCACCCTAACAAAAGTTAAGTATGGGCTACTTCTAGAATCTGATAGGGTATATAAGTATGGGGAGATTATGCTGAACCTTTAGTTAATGATAGAGTATTTTGGGCACACTGAACTGTGGTAACGAAAGGAGGGCATCTTTATCCTAGCTAAATATTATTATATATCAGATCAAATTATTTAAATAAACTTAAAACTTAAATCTGTGATCTAAATTATTTGTTTCCAGTATTTCCTAAATAAGCATATGTGTTTAGTGGGGCTTTATGCTGAGCATTAGACAGACAGAGGACAGGATTATCCAGGGCTCTTTCAGATGGCTGTGTTCAAGTTCTACTCACCAATCTGTCATCCAGCAGAAAAGCAGGCCAGCATAAATTGTGCTGCCTCCTTTACTGTTCTCCATTCTACCCCAATAAGGAGGCTGGCAAATGGGGCTGACCTTAATGAATTAATGTAGGCTATGTTAGGGAACGTTATGGTGGATTTCCCTGGCTTTCATTTCCATTCAACCAAGCATCACAGGAAAAACAGCTACCAATCAATCTCTTTAATGTGTAGGAGGGTGGTGTGGTGTTGGATGACTGATTAGAATGATGGATTTAGTCACTGGTCAGTTCCTGATTAATAGGTGGCAGACATGGGGTAAAGCAGGAGGGAGCTTTCAAAGCTAGTGACCTGTTGGATGGGCTTTCTCTGAAGATAAGCTCAGTGTAGCTGACAAGTCACGAACCTGGAGGGGAACATGGATTAAGTGGGAGGGAATGATTGAAAGTGAATGAGCTCTTTCCTCAACTAGTGCTGCACACACATACGCATAGAATAATCTATAACATATACAGTGATCTGTATTCAAGTACCTTGTTGTTTTCTGTTTTGGCAAATTATTGGATATTAATAATAAATATAAAATGATATATGAAGATAAAGGCAAATTTGAGAAAAGTCATTAATATGCATTTGTTAATCAGACAACTTGTATGTTTATGACACTTCACTCTTACAATGGAAATGACTGTATTTTAATAGTGTGCTGTATCACTTTCAGGGACACATCTGGACAAGGCAGATTCTGTACCATATTTCGTTCCTATTCCAGAGGTGCTCAGGTAAGCGCACACTTTGATTTCTGAACACTGTGGCAGAGAGAAATAATAAGAGAGTTGACAGGGGAAGCAAAATGTTGAGGGAGATAAACGTATTGTCCTAATTTAAAATTTCTACACATTTGTGCTGAATATGGATAACATTTTACAGAAATGTTCAGATCTGTTCAACACTATTTCTTCCAATTATATACAAACACCATTACATGACATTGTACAATGCATATTTAAACTTAACTATATGTCAGGCTAATTTTAAATGGATTTTATTCACCCAGGGTGTGATACTGGTATATGATATAACAAATCGCTGGTCATTTGATGGCATTGATCGATGGATAAAGGAGATAGATGAGGTAAGACTCATACTGAATATTAAATATGCACATTTACCTAAAAGGAAAAGAGTTCTGAATTTGGAATAGCACCTCCAGAATGAAGTTTATACCAAAGAAAATTTGCTTCCTTCATTACTATATTCCCAACAAATTTAAGATGACTCTCCTGTTTGAGATAACCTCAAGATATTTTGATAAAGAGTGGAAGACTAGAAGTAGGAGTAGCTGAAAACATGATATACTTCCAAATAAGTATAAACTGGAACCTGCTTAAAGAAATATGTGTGCAGGGAAGTTTCTTTTCTACTATCATCATTTCATCTTTGTGGTACCTTTTGATAAAATTATTGTAGATAGAAAATAGATTTGTATTCACCTGTTTTGACTTACATCATTGACAGTCTGCTGGGACATTATGTGTGAGGCATATGCAGATAAAATCTAGATCAGCTTAAATGAACCGGTGACACCTTTAACATGAATTCTACTTCACTGACTTCCTTTTATTGTGGTTAATTCTGGGTTATTTTTTTATCTTCCTTGGATAGTAGAAAGTTGCTTAGGGAGATATGTTAAGTGTTTAGAGTTAAGATTACTCTCTATGCTTATTTAGGAGTATGGTTAGGACATATATAAGTGCCTCATTGAGAAAGGGGGAATTGCTGTTGCCTGAAGTCACTCCCATCCCTTAATTAATTTAATTAATTAATCATTCAATTTATATGGCCACCCATCTCAGGTTAATGATCCTGGGCATTAAAAACAGAACAAAAACTATGCACATAAAACAGCAGCCGGGGTAAAAACAGACCCATCCATAACAATTAGTATACCCAATGCACAAGGTCAACCCCCAAGCCTGGTGTCAGAACCAGGTCTTTAAAGCCTTATGGAAGGCCAACAGGGTTGCGGCCAATCTGATCTCCAAGGGGACAGTGTTCCAAAGGGTGGGCACCATGACAGAAAAAGCTATCCTCATGGGCCCTGCCAGATGACACTTCTTAATAGACAAAACCTGGAGCTTGCCTCCTCTGCCAGATCTAATGGGATGGGTAGACATGACTGGGGAGAGGCAGTCCCTCAAATAACCATTATTTTAATAACTTTAAATGCCACAATGCACATACATCACTTTTATGACTATTGCCCAGTTTTAAACTTTCCTTACAGTAGAACTAAACCTTGGGGAACAATTGCAAACATTCCTTGTTCAAGTCAGCCTGATTTCTCTGGTAATTTTGAAACTGAGATTCCAGCTTTTACCACTCTGTGTTCATACATCCACTCAGCTGTGGTTGATTTAATCATTGTTTCTTAGAACAACATAGGCTAAGCCATAAATTACAGTTTCTGAATCATAATGGCTTCTTTGGTTTTGATTTAAAACACACTGTAAACTCAGTCATTGTGGTTTGTAAACAATGGTTTATGGCTTAGTTTGTTTTGCAAACTTGGGCAATTGTGGCTTATTCAACAAATAATGTTTTTTATATTTTATTGTATTTAGTTGTATGGACGGAAACTACCTAAATTATTATGGGTGGACAATAATAAAAACTTAGTAAGAAGAAAGCTAAGAGTGCTACAGTTCCTAGAAAGGGTCCCAGGACTGTAAGAAGCAGAATTCTCTTTTTACTTCTATAAGTGGTCTGCCTTCAAAGATCTTTCCATACAGTGGCATGCTGGTCAAGCATTTTCATAAACCTTAAGTTTTTCCTTTTTCCTTCAAAGCTTCTGGTTTATGGAATACATACCCCAGGAACACCTTCTTTGTCCATTCTCTCATCAGTGTTTCAAAAACAGTAGTGGTAGACTTCCTTCCAGGGAAGCAGAAGACTAAAATGAGGCATTCCTGGATGTGTGATAATTGAATCTGGATCCTAAATGCTCCTATTTCCTCAACATTCAGGGAATAGGAAGTGGTAATTCCTCTACCAGTTCTCTCTTATGCAGTCCATTTCATTTTTCTACTCTCAATTGTAGCCTGGCTCATGTATTACTTTCATGCTTTGTTTTATCATGGTTTGATGAATAAATCAGAAATTGGCCAGATACATATAACACACTAAGCCATAAACCATGGTTTAAAACCAAATAGCTGAGTTCATACAATATTTAAGATAATCTCAAATAACCACCTTACAGTTTTGCATGTTACTGAACCCAATCCATGTAGATAGCTTATTTTCAGTGTGTCATGCAAAGCCAGAAAATTGAGCTAACCTGAATAAATGATGTGAACATAGCCATTTTGATGAAGAAAATGGCTGTACATTTTGAAATTAACATTGTGCTGTTTCTCTTTCTCAGCATGCTCCTGGTGTACCCAAAATCCTGGTTGGTAACCGCCTGCATCTAGCCTTCAAACGGCAAGTGTCTACTGAGCAGGCACAGGCATATGCTGAAAGATTAGGCATGACATTCTTTGAAGTAAGTCCGCTCTGCAATTTCAACATCACAGAGTCCTTTACTGAACTTGCAAGAATAGTGTTGATGAGACACGGAATGGACCGGCTGTGGAGGCCAAACAAGGGTAAGGAACAGAAATGTACTTAGTTTTTTCCTACATATGCTAATTATATATTCAATCAGGATGAAAATTTTTACGAATAACATTCTGATACATGCTTTTGATTTAATGTGCTAACCAGCACCTAATAAAATGCTTCTGATTTTAAGATGAATAACCAGGAACTACCCTATGCATTCCCCAGCTAAGGTCTGTATATAGCAGTTCCTGGTAATCCTGCGGAGTTCATCATGCCAGTACTTTTGCAGAAGTACCACCAGGATCAGCTCCAACTTTCTCATGCCTCATCCTACTCCTTGAAGGTAAAAGGCAGACCAAAGGCAAAGCCAACAGGAGCATCAGCAAAATAGGCTCAGCTTCACATCAACCTCACCCTCTCCTTCAAGGACAAAGAAAGGAAAAGGAAAGGAAGATGTGGAGCTGATCCTGCAGAACTCCTACCGGTTTCACTGCCAACCCACCTTGAGAAGGAAGGATGTGGTATAGGTAAAGCAAGAGGTAAACCAGGTTTTCAGAAATGCAGTCATACTACTCTATTGTTTTAGCCTTTGGGAGCATTTCTAGGAGCCTATGGTCCAAAAAATCTGCAAGGCTATTTGTATCAATGAAGTCAGGCCATAGTAATGAGGAGAATTGGTGCAGGATTTGGGTGGTACTTCAAGAGCAGTATAATGAATAAAGGTAGGGCTATTAAAACTTACATAAAGTCCTAGCTGTGCACTGCCACCATGTGGCTGTTAAGACCCTTTTAATGTCTAATCTTGCTCGCTTTATGTTTCAGTCCTGAGCCTGCAGGATCTTTGTTGCCGTGCCATAGTTTCCTGCACTCCTGTGCACCTGGTTGACAAACTTCCACTCCCTGTTGCCTTAAGAAGCCATCTCAAGTCATTCTCCATGGCCAGTGGCCTGAATGCTAGAATGATGCATGGTCGTTCTTACTCTCTTACTGCCAGCAACAAGAACAAAAGGAACAGTCTGAAAAAAGCCAAAATCATCCGACCACTTCAGAGCCCTCCAAAGCCCTGTACCAGAAATAGTTGTAAAATCTCCTAAACCTGTCTTCAGAAATCTTTGCATTGCTAACGCAAGGACTAACCAAGTAGCCAAATCTGTTGTATGTATTGCTTTGCAGGAACAGAACAAAAGAAAAAATATTTTAGATCAGTTGTTTTTAATAATGCTGCTTCCAGATATATGATGCACTCTGTGCACACAGAGGAATGTGAAACTTTAATGTTGGATTTTATATATATATCAATTTTTTGATGTGCATGAAATCTTTGTGTATTTTATAAAGGGAATAATTTATCACAATCCTGAGCTTTTGTGTCACTGAATCTCAGAAGTGACTAATTTTTAATTCTTAATATTGTTCAATTACTACATCTTATTTGCAATTAAAATGAAAGTCAATCTGTAGATTCACCCAGAGTTTTTAACAACAATGTATTGTATACATTGTAAAAGATATAAGTAGTGAAATTATTCTAGTATTGTTTCAGTAGACCATCTGATTCTGGTTTTGTACAGTTTACTGAGTGATTCTGAAGCACGACTTTGAGCTACTAATGTAATATGCACAAGATTTTGTCTCATCCATGTATAAAACATTTGATAAAGTTTTTGCTATGTTTCAGAATTAAATTGTGGATTATATGCTTATTTTTCTGGTAAATCTACATTTTTGTATTAGATATTCTAGTGATCGTTATATAGTGAAAAAGCCAAAGATATCGAGACATATTTGCTATAGCCTAAGAAAAATGTGATTTGAAAAGCTGCTTTATCAGGAAAGGACACTATTATTTAAAAATAAAGATAAATCCTGCAAATTATATGTGTGTTTTTCCAACTGAAATATTTTATCCTCCTTTCCCAGCTTTTGAATGCTTCCTCAAACTTCTATTGCTCTGCCAAGATAGATAATGTTTGTTATAATTTGTTTCCAATAAAGGCCAGTTTCCTTCCAATTTAATTTAAGTGATCAGAAGGACTTAAAATAAATAGCCTGAATTATGTGATAAGGCCAATTTATTCATGTTTTTAAAGTAATGGTGCTTTCAGTCAGGCAGCTCGTACTGCTATCAGTGAACAAGTATTATGCAACTATTATGTTTTCCTTCTATAATAAATTTTGTGGTAAGTAAAAAGAGAGTAGTGCTAAGAAAACATAACTTACAAATGACTGACTTACAAATGAAATACATTTGAATAGGTTTGAGTGGTTTAGAAATTTATGGAAGGAAATGGAGTGATCTTACTGGAGGTAGGGGGTTCTTGTTGGATTTTTTAATGGTAAATGGATGTGTTTTCTATATAGTTTTGCTTTGCTTTTCTATCTGATTTCATTTGAATTCTAATCATTTATAATATTGTACCTTAGCTGCAGTTGCTAGTGTTGCTTAGTTTATAATATCTTTACTGGGGAGAGGCTTCTGAAATCCATATTTCAGTCCTTTGCTGCCACTACCATTTTTCACAAACACAATGAAGACCTACATGACAGACCAGTAGCAACTGGTATTCTTGTTCTTGTCAGAACAAAATTATCTGGTTATTATATTAAATGTAGTATTGTACCTGTTTTGAATCCCCCCAAGTCCTGCTGTGCTGCCTCGTGGTGGTGGTGGGAATAATCCACAGAGGGATGAGTGAAGAACAGTGGGAGTTTACAGGTAGTCCTCGAGTTACAAACACTTGTTCAGCAACTGTTCAAAATTGCTGAGTGATGGAGATTTATGACAGGTCCATGAAGTTGCAGCCAGCGCAGCGTCCACACAGACACATGATAGCAATCCAGGCGCTCATTTGCCTGGCTCACAATTACAACCCTGCAATGAGCTGTGATCACGGCTTTGCTTTCCCACAAGTGCAGTCAATGGGGAAGCTGGCAGGGAAGGTTGTAAGACTCCCGCTGCTTTTCCTCCCGAAGAGCACCATTACAGAGTACGAGATTCCAGGGATCTCGTATTCTGTAGCACCTCCCCACCCACCCGCATTCTGGAGCAATTCCCACTGGCCCACCCGCACTCTGTGGTACACACCCACAGCCCCCACTGGCCCACCGTGCTCTGTAGTGCCTGCCCGCAGCCCCCACTGGCCTGCCTGCACTCAGAAGCACCCCCCGTGGCCCCCGCTAGCCTGCCCACAGCCCCCACTGGCTTACCCACACTCTGTAGGCCTGACCGCCGCACCTCCCTGCGCTCCTTGCATAGGGTTCTTCCCATTTAACAATCTGCGCGGTCCTGGGATTATGACAGCAGCTGGGATTGCCAACACTAAGCAATGTGGTCACATGACATGACCGCATCACTTAGCAATGGAAGCTCCAGTCTCAATTACCATTGTAACCTGAGGACTATCTGTATGCCAAGAATATGTATTTCCAGGTGTGAAGGTCATCCCAGCTACCCAGCTAAAGCAAGCAGGAACCTTTATTGGGCAGCAGGGATATAGGAAGATGCTGGAGGCAGATGATCACTTTAGTGCCAAGGACAAAGGCATCAATTAATACTGTGTGGGAGAAGGCAATGGTAAACTACTACTATATTTTACCAAGAAAACTACATGGATAGACAATATAAAGTGGTTGACATAGGCTGGATTATATGGCCCCTCAGGTCAGATAGCACTCAGTATGCTACCGAGGAAGAGCTGAAGATTTTTGGGAGTACTAATTATATTTATGATGTGGCTGGATTAAAGTCTTTGGGACATCTAATTGCTGATGTTGCCATGCAAGAAAAGAAAATCCAAAACTGCAAAGACAGAATTACAGTGGGAATATGAAATGAAAGAAGTATGACATGGAAAAATTCAGCATAGTGAAAGATGAAATGAATTTACTACACATTGACATCTTAGGCATCAATTAATTTACATGGGCTAGAATTGGACATTTTCTGTCAGAAGATCATGAAAAACTCAAGACATGAAAAACAAAGAATGGTGTTGCTTTCATAGACAGGAAGGATATAGCAAGAATAGTACTTGGCTAAAATGCAATTGATGACTGAATAGTATCATGAACATGCCTTTAAAATGATGGCTTACCCAAGTTTATACTGCAACTACTGATGCAGAAAAAGAGGTGGATAAGTTTTATGCTCAAGTTCAATTTCAAATGGGCATGCAACAAGACATGCTGCTTGTGGTTGGAGACTGGAATGCTAATATTTTATTATTATAAATATTCAGGAAAATGTAATTGGACCATATGGCCTAGGAAACCAAAAAGAAGCAGGAGAATGACTTATCAAATTCTGTCAATCCAATGATTCCTTCATTGCTACCACTGTATTCCAACAACCAAAATGACACCTATATAAAGTACATGGGTATCACCAGATGGGAGTACACAAACTTCAAACTGATATTATTTGTACAAGGAGATAAAAGAACTCAGTTATAACAGCAAGCACATGGCCAAGGGCTGACTGTGGATAAATCATGAACTGCTCATGTGCAAGTTCTAAATTAAGCTAAAAAGGAAGAAGCAAGCCAAGAAGTTATAGTCACCATTTTCAAGCAGATCATCAGGAATTGCTTTTAAGTCTGAACCTGGAAAAACTGCTGCCTAGTAGTATCAACTATCAACAGTAAAGGAATCAAGAGTCAAGAAATATGCCATAGACTAGCACTTGGTAGAGTAGAATTAAAGGCCTTGGAAAAGATATTAAGATGCCCGGAAGTATATACCTACAAAGATCAGAATTGTGCAGGCAGTTGTGTTCTACACTCTATGGAAGTTGGACTTTGAAGAAGCAGGATAGAATGAGTATTGATGCTTTCAAACTTTGATACTGGAGAAGACAACTGAGAATCTCATGAAGAGTAAAGAAAACAAAACAAATGGATCATAGATCAAATCAATCCAGAATTTGAGACACAAATGACCAGGTTCAAATGATCAAGTTTGGATATATTATGAGAAGACTTAGCTTTCTGGAGAAGTCTATAATGCTGGGAAAGGTGGAAGGAAAGATAAGAGGACAAATCAGCAGCAAGGTGAATGGACTTAATTACAGGGGCAAGGGGAGAATAAACAATTCAATAATTTTAAATAGAAAATAAGTGTGGTTCTTTAATGTTTCCCAGTAGGAGATCTGGAGTTTCAAAACAAAATTCAGATGCAAGTCCCAAATCAAACTGGGTGTGCTCAATCCAAAATGAAGCATCGTTTTCTGAATGATCAGAATAAAGTTCAAATTTAATCTTCAGGTTCATGCACCTGTCTAAGTTAGATTCTAGTGGCACCAAAGAATTGGAGTGGATGGGGCAGGTAACTTATTATTGAAGTATTGTATATCAGAAAGTAATTCCTATCTAATTGGACTATTTGTGGCACTGTATGGTCTAATATCAGTGTCCAAAAGACTTTGACATCACTTGCCTCCTGGAAATCCTAGGGATCCAAAATGAAAATTTCAGGATACAAAATGTGCTTTAATGCTGAGCCAGTCCTCAGGGTGGGTGCTTGACAAGGGCTAGGGTAAGGAAAGCTGTGATAAGGATGTCACTCCTACTTTTTAAAAAAAGCCTTCCTTTCCAAATGTTTAATCCAGTCTAAATGTTTAAGTCTTCCCAATTAAGCCTGAAAAATCCACATTCACTAAACTGAAAGTTAACAATGTGGTGCTCACGTGGGCACCTCCCTTGATGCCCACCAAACTTCTGTCCCCCTCACTTTAATGAATGAATGCTTTGAAATCAGCAAAGCGCTGGCCTGTAGCATCATCTTAATTTACAAGGATGCAATTGAGGATTGTGTGGGTCCCCTAGACATTCTTAGAAAATGAAACAAGGCCCAGCTCCTAAGAAAAAATTATAGTGATTGGCCAGGGTGATACAGAACATCCTGAAAAAACAGGTGAGAAAGCAGGGAGCAACACCACCTGCTAGAAAATGATTGTTTTGTGACAAGGCAGGTCCCTCAGGGCAACCATTCTGTAAGTAAGCAAATGCACCCCAACTGCCAATTTAGGAGAGCCACTCACAGCATGCGCTCACAATTCCAAAAGTCCCCAAAAGATTGCCCTGCCAAAGATAATGCAAAGTCAATTCATCTTGTTCCTCCATGTTCCTAATTATGATAACTCTGGATGAAGAAAATGTGGAGAGGGGGAACAGAAAACTCCTAATAATTCAGTCACAAATGAAACTCCAGAATAAAAATTACAGTATGGTATTTATAAATTCAGCCAAACTTTTCAGCTAAACAAGCAAGGTATTGACACTTACTAGGCTAGCATAATTTCCAGCCTAATGGGAGTAGCCAATATGGCTTCTATTGATCACCATTTATGTTGCCTAGTTCCTCTCTGCTCTCCCCCCCCCCCCCCCCCCCCCCCCCAACTGTCCTCTGAATGCGCGTGGGAAAGAAATCCGGAGCGTTCAGTGGAACTCACTCCTAGGTCGCTACGTAGGGCTAAAACATAAGGTGCTTTGGAGGATGGGGGTCGAGTAAATAATCAGGCTAACCCCCCTCAATGCTTATTCATAAATGATTTCCCCCCAAATTCTTGCGGCTTATACCGAATCCAAATAAGCGTGAACAAATTTTAACCATCCCCCCACAAAAAACTGGGCTTTTATCTCATGAAGAGTTTCGTGTAGCTCAAAAACTTATTTAGTTTCTCAATCTTGATAGGATTCGAACTTAAGGTATATATGGCACAAATCTGAATAAAATGTGCACACACTTTTACACACGCATGCATGAGAATTGGAAATCAACAATTGGGTTTATTTGAATTTCCATGAAGACAATTAATTCCCCCCCCCCATCACCTCCGTTCTTCGGCAGTGTGGCAGTGCAGCAGCACTGAACTGGCGGGGTCTTACCGCCCACTCCGTTACTCTCAAAAGTCGTTGCCTTACCTATTCTGTAAGGGCAAGGCGAACACGAAACCGATGGAAGCGCAGTGGCGGTTCGGCCTACTATGATCTTGGCTTTTTCTAGGATAATTGTAAGTACCTTTACTCAAAAGTAGAAACAGTACATTGAGCAGGCTTACGCCCACGAAAGTTGACTCCGTCGTAAACCTCCGAAACACGCGAGCAGGCGAATTCAAGCATCAATTAGCTCGGCGCTCAGCCGAGTGGGCTTCCTTGATCGATGCGCTCTGCAATCGGGGAGCGACGGTAAATCGGACGGAGCCTACAGTACTGCGGTACGGTACTGAGTTCGGAGAAGCCGCCGCCGCTCGACAGCTTGGTGCTCCTCCAGCAGGCCAAGGAAAGCTGTTCGATGCGCTCTGCGCTCGGGGTGCTCCTGGTCTAGTCCGGAAGGAATCGTGGCGCCGCCGCCGCCAGCCCTCGGCTGATGGTGTGAGCGACCCCCTCCCCAGGCCGTGGCCTTTCCCAGCGTCCGGCGCCATGAACCTGCTCCCCGTAAATCCGCACGGGAATGGGTTGCTCTTCGCCGGCTTCAACCAGGACCACGGTAGGGATTTCATGGGGCGGCTGGTCGCTCGCCTGCCCGCCCAGCCGCCCGTTCACTTCAGGCGTTTGCGGGCGCGGAAACACGCCTGCTCACTTCCCTTTCCTTCTCCCCCGGTTCTTCGCTTCAGCCCGTCCAGGGAAGAGCGTCGGTCGCTAGCTCGGTTTCCTAGGAGGAGGTAGCAAGAGGCGGGAAGCGAGTGTTGCGCTGCGGCCCCGGCAGAGAAATAGAGTCGCCTTCTGGGGTCTTCGGCACATACTTTGCTGCCTGCAGGCGCCCGGCCGCCTCAATTGTTGCCTGGCGTAGGCAAATATTTTGCCTTCCGCCGCGTTTACCGCTCTCTTCCTGTTTGGGGCAGTTGCTGGCTGCGTTTGACGACACCTGTGCTTAATTTAACTATGGTCTGCTCAGTCCAGTTTTCTGGACTCGCAAGACACACGAGGCTGAAAAGCAGTTCACCAGTCTGTGGTTCGGTGAGTGCGCCCTGAAAGCAGAGGAAGTTTTACTGGATAGAGCAGGCCAGGTCCCCATCTCTGAAGCTTTCAAAGGCTAATTCGAAGTAGGAGAGTTAGCAGAGCTGTTCAGATTTATGGTGAAGAATCCCACCCCACTGCTATATAACAGCAGGGCTGCAACCTTGGTATCTTCAGATTTCTATGTAGTTTTGTGCCCTTCCATGGTAAAAATTGTGGGGGAGTTGGGCGGTGATATACATTTGACATATAAATAAAACAAATACATAAATAAATAAGCTTTTGTGAGGCAGAAATATTGCCATAGGCCAGGCCTGGCCTTTGCTCTTTAAGAAATTATATATATTGAACTTCTTATTGGCACATGTTTGCTGGGCTTAGCCTCACTTTTGCTTTTTCTACAGCAGATTGCTAATTTAGCTGTTGTCCATTGTAAATAGGTACCCTCTTCCTGAATATAGCCCTAGTCTCTTCTTCATGGCTAAGTTAAAGTGCTGTCCATTGATCCTTGAGCCAGCAAAAAAGTATGCTGGCCTAAACTGTGCTACTCCTGTGGCCTGCCACAGTAACAAGGCTAGTGAATGATACTATCTTTACTTACTGCAGGGCAAGCTAAGAAAGGATTCATGGATCCCCTGACTTTGTTTTCCCTCCCCCTGAGATTCACCTGCTGATGGAAAACAGCAACCATAACTCCCCCTAACATGGGGTAGGGTGAGTTTAGACATACTTTGAATAGTGGGTTTTGCCACCACTTGTCAAGTTGCCCAACTAATAGGTGACAGGCACTAAGGGTGTGTCTGGGGTGAAGCAGGAGAGAGTGCTCCCAGTGTTGCTGCAGGCTTTTCTAAACATGGATATAGCACTGTTCTGAAAGAGGATTAAATCTTGTTCAAAAAAAGCCTGGTTGGCAGATGATAAGCCCAGAAGGGAAGTACAGGAGAAGTGGGAGGAAGCAATTGATTGATAAAGAGCAAGTTCCATTCTTGACTAGTGCTGAGGGGGAATCAAAGGGAAGCAAAGTGATCAAGGAGTTCAGTTTGTTTCATTGTTTATTTTATTCGTATTGCTGCCTACTTGGCAAACCACTGAAGGCTGCATAGAGGACAAATTAAAAGTACACTGTAACAGTAAAAGTAGAACTCAATAGCCAGCATGTACAAATGCCAGGAAACAGCCATGGAGCACACACGTTAGGACAGATTTCTGGAATCATACAATTTTGATTGGTTTATCTATGAAAATGACAGTAATCACTAGGGATCTGCAAAATGTTCTATGTACAAACCGTTCCATTCACAGAAGAGCTGATTTCAGGTTGTCCATGCCTGAACTGAAACACAAGGGTTTGGGATAGTTTGGTCTGTATATGGAATCAGTAGGGCTCTTTTGTCCTGATATAGACCAAAACATGGTGGTTCTGAGCAGATTGGTTTGGGGGGCAGGGAAATCAAGAATATGGATGGTTAAAAGAAGCAGGGGAAGGAAGACACTAAGAAGATAGGCTGGCAGGCAGACTGGTGCAGTGTACTATATTGGGAACTAGTTCCTTGCAGCTGAGACCATCCCAGTAAAGAACAAAAGCACAGTTGTTGGCAATGGCTGAGGGAAAGAAAGGAAGGTGCTAGAAAGATTGAAGGATATGTGAGCCTGCCAGGGAGTTATGCCGTGCTGGGAATCTGTGGCAGTGGGAATTAAATGGAAGGAGGAAAAGAAATGTGCTGGGAAGATTGTGTGTGTGTGTGTGTTTTTACAGCTGCTGAGGGGAGAGGGGGTGACATACATCAGCCTTGCCTTACACCTGTAAATTCAAAGGCATCCCTCCAGATTTTCTATCATCTGCATATCAAAGCAATGAAACTTCTCTGAGTTTTGGTTCTGGTAAATTACAACCAATCTGAAAGGGTTGGCTGTACCTCCAGAATGCAATGATTTCTTCTGGGTTTGAGCGAAAACATATTTCTAATTTTGTGTATACCCCTAATCATCACCATGCTACCTGTGAAATAAGCAAAATGATGCCTCCTCAGCCAAAGAGAGGAGAATACATAACCATGGTGGTCTATTTCCTGGTTTAAATTGATCGGTTGTGCAGCACTGGACTAGTGCTCTTTCAAAAGAGTACTAAATGCATGTTTGAAAAAGAGGGCTGTTGTTCTGTTAGTATTATCTAGTCTAGTTAGCAGCTGCACACCAGGGTTATGGCTGGAGGTCTTTCTTAACCCTTGCTTACCAGATGCTTTATTACAGAAATTGCAGGTATTAAACCAGTATTTTCTCCATGCAAAGTATATGCTTCAGTATGACTTATGATTTCTCCATTATTAACACAGAGCATTTATGCCTACATTGGCAACCTTTTTTTTTTTTTTAGGATGCTTTGCATGTGGAATGGAAAATGGATTTAGAGTGTTTAATGCAGATCCACTCAAAGAGAAGGAGAAACAAGGTGAGATGGTTCCTTAGTATCCATTACTGCTTTTCAGTTCTAAATAATCCATTGGCAATATGATCTGGTACCTGATAATTCTGAAGTAAATACAAATAAATGTATTGTATTTTGCTCCCAAGTAACTCTGCATAGGATTATAGCCTTAAAATAAAATATTTGATTGCCTGAATTTCACAGGGAATTCTAAAGTTTGGGGGCAATTCTCATTAACTATCTCATGGCAGTATTGTTTCCTGACCTGTAATAGTCGTCCATAATGTATAACAGAAGAAAACTTCTGAGTACACTAGACAAAGAGAGAGAAAAAAAATAATTCTCAGAATGAGGCAGGCAAAAGCATAAAAAGTATCACACATAAGTGTACTTGTAATGTTAAGGCTGAAGAGAAATTTCCTTTGAACTACACATATATTCTGACATTGGTAAATTTTGCATTGAATGTTTGATTTTATGCATATTCTTCTTGCCCTGCCCCCCAGAATTTCTAGAAGGAGGTGTCGGCCATGTTGAAATGTTGTTTCGCTGCAATTATTTAGCTTTGGTTGGTGGAGGGAAAAAGCCAAAGTATCCACCTAATAAAGGTATAGTATTGAATATCAAATCGTATTTTTATGGTTGGGTTCAGCCACAATGCTTTAACTGAATTTGTATTCCTTTCCTGAATAGTTATAATTTGAACAAATGTGAGTGTAATTCTTACATTTTTAGAAGGAGAGAATGAGAAATCATCTTGAAAGCAGTTATTTGTTAGCAGACTCTGGTCTGTTATGCTTCCTATTTATCTTTTTCCACAGTATTGCATCTCCTCTTAATAGGAGTATAATACAATAAAATGGCGCCATCTGTTTAGGGAGATAGATGGACTGGAGGCAAGAGGAAAGATGGAGATAGGCTTCAGAATAGGACCCCTTAAGACTCAAGGTAGGAATAGCTCAAAGAAATTTGTGGTATCAAGGCTGGGGAACTTTGGGTTTTGCAGGAGTTGTTAGGAGTAATAGAAGTTGTAGTTTGTTTCCATTCTGGTTGGATCTCATGAATGTTGGAGTCCAACAACATTTTGAGCAATATCCTGAATTAAAAAACATCTGTCCAAATTTGGGATATGAATCTTCTGTGCTATCTATATATTGAGGTAATTGGGAATATAACTTCCTAATGGAGCTGGTCTGTCAATGTTGAAGGTACTTCTTTTAAAACTAATACAATACTTCTACTGCTGCAGTGATGATCTGGGATGATTTGAAAAAGAAGACAGTTATTGAAATAGAATTTTCCACAGAAGTCAAAGCTGTTAAGCTACGAAGAGACAGGTAAGTGCTCACAGTTAATGGAACAAAAGGATCATTTTATTTATGTTTGTTTCAATTTGTTCCATTACTTGGATATTTTTAAGAAAGGAAAAGGCTAGGGGTTCATTATTTATTAACATACTGAACTGTTTTGAATATGGTGGAACAAATCAGTCTCAGCCTTACAGAACTTCTTTGGCAGAAAGATGCATGAGCTCCTGCTTTATGGCCACTTCTGATATAGATTGATTGATTATTTATTTATTTATTTATTTATCAAATTTGCATAGCTCCCCATCTCACAGAAAAGTGACTTTGGGTAGATTACAACAATCCAATAAAAACAACACATACATAATCAATTAAAATATAAAAATAAATATTAAAAGGTAAATATGATAAAAACAAATACCCAAACCCTAGGCAATGAATGAATGAATGAATGAATGAATGAATGAATGAATGAATGAAGATTGAAATAGTTTTGAAAGCTCTGCTATATAGCCTAAAA